TTATATTAGTTTACTGTGTCTGAAAACATTTTTTTCACATTTGAATATATTCTTTTAAAGTGTAAGTTGTCTTTTCATCAGTATGCTTGAAGGGTAGTTCCTCACAAGGATATCTTGCCCCACTCTCTCAAATTTAGGTTTGTTAATTTATCTTTGCATTATGATTGAGGATTTGGATGGTTTCCTGTACACAGAATGAGCCGATGTGTCCAGCAGCTGTTGTTAGTCCATTTAAAACCAAGAAGCCTCCAACGGCTAAAGGCTGAGTGCTATTGATTGAGCCCTAGAAGAGCTGAAGTGCACATACAGTGTCCTGCAGCAGCACACACTGATGCTGAGACTGTAATCAAGTCCTGTGCTGCTCCTCCTGCTCTTAATCCATTAAGTGTTTGACAGCCGTGCAATTGTTTCCACCTACAAACCCTTTGTCAGGTGACAGATCTGGGGTCAGAAAACTGCCGGGTGAGTCTCCCACTGTGTTTGGGGGGATTTATTTGGTTATTGTCCAGTTGTGTAATGCCTGAGAAAAGGGTTCACCTTGATGCTAGTGTTGCATTACGGCATGCCTTGCTCAGGTGTAGATGAGAAAGAAGCATTTATATCTGGTATTTATTGCATACTTTGAACATTTGAAGTGGCGAATACTGTGTTTTGATCTTAAATGCCATGCCTGACAGGATAATAGCAACCACTATTTGAGACCTAAATATATGCAGCGCTTCTTTCCTGCAGCTTGTGACATTTATCCACAGGGATTAGCCGTATTGCTTATAACCTTATATATGTACAGAAACTGACTGTCTGACTGTCAAAGGCCGGATTCTCTCACTAATATACTGAACTAAATGGATACATAGCACGTCTGCTTCTGAAGAGTTCCTTTTCTAACTTCAAGAGGATTCATTTTATCACAGGAAAAGCTTTTTGATCATGTTGCTGCACAGACTGCAGAGACAATGCCAGCACTGTAAAGAAAAGATTGTCAGTTGACTTCAGAAAGTGCTTTATAAATGAACTGGTTTTATTCAAGTCAAAAATATGATTTTAACGTGACTGAATCAGCCTGACTACATTAGGTTGCAGCAATGAAAGTCATTAAGGGTAGATCAGGTAGAAATAGCTCCTCAGGGTAATGACAGCACATTATTATTGTGTCCTTACATGATATGAAGAATATGAAGGATTTAGATTCATTAAATCTCAATGCAGCTGGTTCTATGGCTAGCCATTTTAACATTTAATCATTAAAACGTACTAGTATCTGTTGTTGTGCTACTTGCTTTTTAGCTACTAGTATCTATTCTATTAATTACTAGTACTTATTCTTTAGTTACTCGTGCTTCTTACTACTAGTACCTTTTTAAAAGATGCTACTGCTTATTCATTAGATACTTTTTCTTATTTATTATATATTTGTACTCATTCATTAGATATTATTATCTATTAGGTAGATATTATTACCTATTATTAGATACTAGTACTTAATCATCAGATGGTATTGTGAGTTACAAAGTCAGAATTGTGTGATATAAATTTGCAATTTTGAGAAATAAAGTCAGAATTGCAAAATATTGCAATATAATTGCATGACTTTTTTCTCAGAATTGCGACTTTATATCTCACAGTTATAAAATTTTTTCTCAGATTTGAGAGTTTATATCTTGCAGTTCTGACTTCATAACATGCAATTGCGAGTTATAAAGTCAGAATTGTGAGATATAAACTTGTAATTGTAAGAAAATAGTATGTTTTTCTCCGAATTGGAGTTTATAACTGGCAATTGCGAGTTTATATCTCACAATTATGAGAAAAGAAGACAGAATTTTAGGAAAAAAAGTCAGAATTGTGAAATATAAACTCAGAATTGTGAGAAAAAAATCAGAATTGGGAGTTTATAGCAATTCTGACTTTATTTCTCAGAACTGCGACTTCATATCCCACAATTCTTTTCTCACAATTGCAAGTTTATATCTCACAATTCTGAGAAAAGTCAGTTACCTTTTTTTTTTTTTTATCAGTGGCAGAAACAGGCTTCCATAATTCTGACTAATAACATAATCTGACATAAAATGAGTAAAAAATCAGTTGTGATTACTAAGATAAAATAATTGTTACTAGTAACAATTACAACAGATACTACTGTCTAAATAAGCACTAGTGCCTGATGAATTACTACTGATATTTATTAAATAGGTATCTGTAGGTAACTAATAGGTAAGTACTAGTATCAAATAAGTAAGAACTAGTATCTAATGAATAATATCTTTAAAAAGTTACTCGTACCTAAGGAATAAACACTAGTAGCTAATGAATAAATACTAGTACCTAATAGAATAGATACTAGTAGCTAAGAAGTAAGTAGTATAAAAAATACATGCATTTTAAGGATTAAATGTCAAAATGGCTTGCCATATGTTTGAATCAGTGAATTTACATAATCATTTGTGAGCTTCTGTATGAGTATAAATTGGGTTTATGTAGATTTTATTCAATGTATTCACCATAACTGATTGATCATACATGTCCATGCATGGCGTCCTGCTGTGTAACTACAGTCGAGGATGTACTGAACATCACTGATCAGTTATTCATCACAGCATGGCTTCACTGGCTTCCCGTACTGCTGCTAAAACACTCAGGAACAGAAGAGATTCTGCTGATTACACTGTGAAATCTGCTGTTTGATTAGATAACACATCTTTACATTCCCATCAAGTCTTCATTAGTCACGCAAAATGCCAAAGAACTTTTCTTTCTTGGTAGAAAAGAGATGTAAACAGAAATATGTTAAAAGTCAGAAGATACGGGTTCTAAAGCTCCAGAGAAATCAGATGAGCTTGCCATCTCTCGTTTTGGACGGTCTAAAGGCCGCTGAGTAGCAGCAGAACAAAGAGAAACAGATCTAACTGAACCTAATAGAGCACTGAATCGGTCACTGCTGTTTTGAGAGTTTTCAGAGTGTTTTAAACCGGCGCTCTGTCAACATGCCATTGTAGCGTCTGCTCAGTCGTGTGATTTGACTGTGCTGTTTAACCTTAAAATTGAGTTTATAGTGTTTTGAGTTTATTTGAGTGCCATCTTAACCAGATAAATTCAGAAATGTGTTCTTAGTTGTCATGCATATTTGCATTGTGAGAGAGCAGGGAATCGACCGTCAATATAATACTGACAGTGCAGTTTATTGAATGAACACTTAAATAACAGAATGTTTAGTGAACATGCATACATTCAAAAAAAAAAGAAGAAGAAAAAACAGACCTTTTATCCTGTAATGCAATGCAATGTAAGTCACATGATTGCTCTCTCTGAAATGTGCTTCATGGTCGATATTTTTGCGTGCGCGCGTGTGTGTGTGTGTGTGTGTGTGTGTGTGTGTGTGTGTGAGTATGTGTGAAAGTGAAAAAGAAGAAGAGCTATAGACCTGTGTGATACCTTTTATGGAGAAAAAAAGGATATATTTGAGGATTAACTCAGATTTATGGCATGTCATAACAATTTATACGTTTCAGCACTGACCTTTCCCTTAGCACTTGAGTGATAGATGTATTTCATTACCATGTTTGAAAAGTACCAAACGGAACACCTTCCCGTCAGAGTCGTACGTGATCAATCAAGGCGGGATTGTGGGTAAGAAGAGCAGGTTTGTGTATGGAGACGACCCTGATGTCATGTTAACAGACAGGCTTGACATTGAGGTTATGTACTGTACGAATATGTGCTGCAGGAAAACACAGAAATATAATTTGAATGCCAAAACAGAATGATTTCCCCTGTATTAACAAGTGTAAAGAGTAGGGTTAGTTTCTATTTAGTGTGTAAGCATTCTGAAATGCTTTAAGTAAGAGAATTGTCACACATTTATGGCCATGCGTGGCCTAAAATTAATACTCGGCAAGTGCCAAACGAGAGAAAAATCAGTGTTGGTGATTAGAATAAAGCGTTACCTGCCAGTATGCTGGTAAAAATTTTTTTAAAGTAATTCTAACAATGCCTGGGAAAGCAATATGGCTTAGTGTGTTTATTAAATCTTAAAGACATTGTAATTATATAAATATGTAATCTAATGCACTGCGTGTTTCAGAGTTTGATCTTTTCGGTGTTTTCAGTGTCTTATAACATGCATTTGAAAATGCAACATTCCCCAAACATCTTTGTTGGTAATGAGAATGATTTATAAATCTCTTGTCAGCAAAAGAGAAGCATTTGAAGAGAAGCATTATAATAATAATAAGGGATTCACTCCCGTTTTTTAATGTGTCACTCCTGAAACTTTACAGTATGTATGTGGCCAATAAAGCACACTGCACACTGTCGTCCCAGTGTGTGTTTGAGATTGTTCAGTTCCTGCAGTATACTGTGGTGGTCAGAAGCTGCCGGCGGTCAGCATCAGTTACTGTTGACTGCGGTTTTCTTCATTAGACGTAGTGAGACTCCTCTCAGCGGGCGGCTCTGATCCGTCATGTAGAGGAGTGTAACCTAATGACTTATTCATACCATATTTCCTCCTCTCATCAGTCGAGCAGAGCTTTGTATACACTGTCGTCTTCTGCGCTGCCTCCGTGCCGGATACAAGAAATCTTCCTCCCACTCGAGGGGTCTTAAAGAGCGGCTCAGCGGGTGGGCTGTGTTTGCATAATTTTATTGCCAGTGAGGAATAAACAGTCACTACCACACTTGATTAATCATGGTTCTCATTTTCCCCGCCGTCTTTTATAGACATAAGTGCTGCGGAGCCGCATGGGAATTAATGTGACAGTTTAAAACATGCTTGCTAATCCCTCACCACCGAAAGAAGCTGTGATACAGCTAAAGTGTCTAAATGAGAATGTTTACCTTTTGTCTTTGAGTGTAAATCGCAGGATTACAGTGAATTAATTGAGACCCCTGCACTGAACGACTGTCCAAAAATGCAAATTGCAAACGCATCCATGCATAAATGCAAATGCATAAATGCCTTCGGACATATCCAGCTAATTAAATTCCTCTGGTGTGCTTTACAGGAGACACGTGCACCATGGCGGAGTACAACAAGCTGAAGAGCATGCTGCTGGACATGCAGCCCAGGACCTCCAAAGACGGGCAAGCAAACGCCATGGACCAGAGGAGGATCCTAGTGGACACAATGTTCAAGTATATAGACAGAAACCAGGACGGCCGTCTGAGCAGTGAGGAGCTGGCAGAGGTGAGGGACCCATAGGATTGCAGTTCAAGAAGATATGGAGGAATATAAGCCAGGGATAGTGTACCTTCAGCCAGTCATTTCGCTCCACTCTGAAGGGGTTTATTTTTCTATAATGACCGCCGGACTGCACATTATCCTGCATATTATGTCAAAGATTAGGAAATATTTCAGAGTCATTATTTACAGAATCATTCCAAACCAATAATCTGCTGTTTTTCTGTGAAACCCAATGTAGAGGAATCATTATTCTTCTATTCAGTTCAATTCCATTCATAGTGAAGTTGCTTGTTGCACAGCTACTGACCAAATAAATCAAATGAAATATTAATTTGAGTTTTACAGTTTTACCTGCTTATTATTTTAAAGCTTCCACTAACCCTTGTGAGAAAAGAAAATGTAGTACACTTGTAAACAAATGTAAACACTTACATCACTATGATTCTTAATACACTTTTAAAACTCATTGCAATTTAAATCATTACGCTTTAATCATCTTTTGTCATATTTTAAATAACTACACTTATTTTGATGTGTTGTCTAACATACTAAAATACATGTAAAGTACTAGATTATAATTTTAACTGTAGTGTTATTTGATATTATATGTAATGTTAATATATTTTAAAAGTACTAAATTTCAGCTTCGTTATTACAAATGTTTAATTATAAATAAATTTAAATACAGGACATACACATTTCAATAGAAATTACATTAAAGTACAGTATATTTCAGGTTTACCATAAATGCTTTAAATAAATAAATAAGCACTCTTAAATTCAACTAATTGCATTTCAAATAAATTTAAACTATAATACTTTTTTTCATGAAAATTTAAAGGGGTCCTATTATGCTTTTTCACTTTTTTAATTTTAGGCTGCGCTTCTCGTCCAGTGTGCGACTGCCTGAAACGCTATTTTTTTTTTCACCTCCGTGCCCAAACGTCTTTGTTTGGGCTTCCAAAAGCAGATGATGTCAGGAAACAGTGGTTGCAATTTATTTTTTAACTCTGTCCCTGAGCATTATAACCCCAATTTGCTATTGTGTGCTGCGTATTTTACTGAGGACAGCTTCCACATCATGAGTAAGAACGAGAAGTGCCGGATTCACCAAAAAGCTTTTGTTGAAAGACGGAGCAAGGGGCGGGGCAGTACTGAAACACCGTCTAAGCTGTTCGCCAATCACAACGCACTGGGACAGCTAACCAATCACAACACATTTTGTTTTTCGGAAGGCGGACCTTCATCAAAGCCGGAACTAATCGAGCCGTTTGTGCCAGGCTGGAGAGAAAGGTATTTTAATAATGTAAATTATGTGAAAAATAATGTGTTTTTCGAACCACCAAGCATGAGAGCATGTTCTAGTACACCCCCAAAACAAAATCAAGACTTTGTAAAAGAGCATAATAGGACCCTTTTAAATAACGTGCAATTAAGTTTTCAAAAATATTACATTCAGTTTTCAGTTCATGTGAATAGTTTACCCAAAAATGAAAACATCCTCAGGTCATCCAAGATGTTGATAAATTTGTCATCAGATTTGGAGAAATGTAGCATTCCATTACTTGCTCAGCAATGGATGCTCTGCAGTGAATGGGTGCCGTCAGAATGAGTGTCCAAACAGCTGATAAAAACATCACAATAATCCACAAGTAATCCACAGCACTCCAGTCCACCAATTAACATCTGGAGAAGACAAAACCTACATGTTTAGAAGAAATGAATTATTTATTAAGGTGTTGTGCATCTTGTGGCCTGAGAGTGAGTAAATTGTCCACAAATTAAGATTTTTGGGCAAACTATTCATTTAAGTATATTCTTTTAAATTAGGCTTTTATCCATAAGTACTCTTAATAAAAAGTATGCTAATATGTTATTATTTTTCACAAGGGAAGAAAACATTGTCACAAATCAATATTACAGTATATTTAATACTAATGTCCTCTGATTTCATTTTCAGTACAGTTGATAATTCAGAGTATGAGAGATTGAAAGTACTGGTTACATTATCCTCTCCTCTACTGAAGCTCATGTTTAACCCAAATCAGGTTCTGCTGACTCAGATTTAGCCATTATTGAAATCTGAATGGCACACTGGTTCAGAATGACATGTGGGTGAACAAATACTGACAGGTTTTTCATTTTGGGGTCAACTCTTCCTTTAACACCCATATAGCATGTGTCAACCAATCAGCATCAAGAACAGCAGTGTCGTGGTACAAGACAAGAGCTTCATCATACCTGTAAATTATGTTATGTAACCCGTTCTGAGTAGATTACTTACAATGTCGTCAGTTTGCTTGATGAAAGCTGTAGTTAGTGACGTAATCTAGGTTACACATTTTAGGTAATGTATTCTGACTACTTTTTAGATTACTTTTAGATTACTTTTTATCAAACTTCATCAAACAAAAAAGCAAACGTTTGGGAATCTCTCCATTACATGAACAAACATTAATAAAAACAGCAATGACTTTACATGCCCAAAGTCTTCCAAGCCTGAAATATTTTTGTCCAGATTTCCAGAATCAACAGTAACTTGCATAATTATCTGTTTCACACGTAACAGCTTGAGAGGTGCTTTTCCCCTCAAATCCAGAAGCATGGTTTGCAAATTTATTTATACGACATTTGTGAATATAGTTAAAGCTAAATGACACACAGTATTTTCACACAGAAAATGTAAAAGAGAAAAAATTTACTGCCATTGATTACCATGTAATCAATAAAAAGTTACTTTAATCTGATTACGAGCATTGTAATAATAATATGAGCAATGTAATATACTTTAATTACAAATACTTCATTTTTGGAGTAATTCAGATTACATCAATTACTACCCAGCTCTGTATGTAACTGAATTGAATTCTTCCTGTTCTTTTACAGATCTCCATAAAGGAGCATTTAGAAAATATCTTATTGGAGTGCACCATGCAAGACCTCCTGCGTTACGACGATTACAACAACGATGGTCACCTGACCCTTCAGGAGCTCTACACAGCCTTCCGTGAGTGTAGACTACACAGTACAAATGAGCCTCTCTCACCATGTGGCAGGTCTGCAGATTTTTTGTCTGCCAGGCACCATTACATCTCTCTCTGAAGCGCTTTGCAAATTTGCAGCGAACGAGCACCTGATCCTTTGGGCCAATGAATGCTAATCATGGCCCGGTGATGAGAGATGAGTGCTTTTGGCTGAAAAAGAGAGATGAGATGGCAAGCCCAGATTATCTCGTATCATCCATCGTCCCACGCCGCATAAAGCAAACGCCCTCATTTCATTCGTTTCCAATTTGCCAATGCAATTCGCAGTCCCAGTTCTCTGATTGAGCAACTGTGACTAAAATTATCCATCCATTCCACCAGGAGATCAATCAAAGCATTAGAGGTGCCTTGCAACCCTTACTTTAAGATTCAACTGCTGGGGCAAAAAACACGGCTCCATTAACCAGCGCCAGTCGTTAACCTCACTAATGAGGGGTTTTAGTGAACTGCTTGTTGTCATTATACAGTCCCTTTGCTTTTGTGTCCAGCTGGCCAGTGTTGGTTCTCAGGTGAGGAGGTTGAGTGTACGAGTGTCAGTGTAATAAAACATTGCTCTGGTGAAGCCCTTCTCAAGGTTAAGCGTGTTGCCGCAGTGGGATTTTGGAGGATGCCATCTGCAATGAGGGAGGAAGGATCACTGCTGCAATTGACTGACTCATGTGTTTCATTCAAACAAACGTACCTGAGGAGATCCCACTCCACGCTCCTCTGTTTGTACGGCACATTTCAATCTGTAGGGAAAGACGCTAGTGTTTCCTATAGTTCTTTGTGTAAAAAAATAATTTTCATGCTTTGCTATGTGCTTTACACATGGCGTTCAACCATCTGTGAGCTGGAGAAGAAACATACGCACATTCATGAGCTTTTGATTTTTACCAATTTGGTGACACTTCAGATTATAGGGAACACATATTCACTATGTTTGCCCTCAACAGACTGCTAATTTGCTGCTTATTAATAGTTAGTAAGGTAGTTGTTAGGTTTAGGTATAGTGTAGGATTAAGGGATCTAAATTATGCAGAATGAGTTAATTAATATGTGCTTTATAAGTAATAAACAGCCAATATGCTGGTAGCATGCATGACAATAAGCAACTAATAGTGAATAGCGTTCCCTGATCTAAAGTGTGATGATGCTGTGATATTATTTTGTTTAGATGTCATTATTATGTGAAATTTGCATGTATTGTCTCAGTTGCTTGCTAAAATATAGCTTAAAGGGATAGTTCAACCAAAAATGAAAATTCAGTAGCACTTTAGTATTCTCACTATTAACTAGTTGCTTATTAGCATGCCTATTATTAACATATATGGTTACCAGCATCGTTCAAAATATCTTCTTTTGTGTTTAACTGAAGAAACAGGGTTTTTTTTTCACTGAACTCCTCATAATGCATTCTGGGATTGCTTTCAGGAATGCATGTGATACAATTTGGACTAAAGCAGGTTTGCTCTGGAGAGGTCATAGAAAGTCATGGGAATTCATCTGTAATAAAGTGTGGGAATCTTATGTCTGGGTCACTCACTGTTAAATTTACACTGCGCATTAGAGTTTAGTCAGACGTGAGGTTTATAAGTGCAGATCATGCAGCAAATAAATATGAGTAAAGCCCATATAACATTAATCTGAAAAGACTGCAGCTTGAATTAATCTGACAGTGCTGGATTTCAGTTCTTTCACCAAAAGTAAAACATATAGGCCTAATGATAAACTTCAGTTTCTGGGACAGAAATATGACAACAGTAGAAACTAATGAGAAAAAAAAGAAGAAAAACTATTGTTATTGATCTTAGATAGTGATTTGAACAAACTCCTAACACTAACACTGCTGGACTATAAAGCAGGTGAAAAAAATCTGACACATACTTAATTACACTGTTAACTACAACTTTTGCCTCAATAAAATCCTAATTTGCTGCATATTAATAGTTAGTAAGGTAGTTATTAAGTTTAGGTATGGTGTGGATTAAGGGATCTGAAATATGCAGAATAAGTACAAATAAACAGTCAATATGCTAGTAACATGCATGCTAGTTAATAGTAAGAATTGGTCCTTAAAATAAAGAGCTACTGTTTGTCATCTAATGTTTTAGTCATCATATGTTTTCTGCAAAACTGTTCATAACTTTTTAAAGTCTGTTACAAAAAGGTACATTTCAATCCGAAAAATATTTTTTACCAAATGGCTATTTGGTCAAACTAGTTCTTAAAGGGGTCATATGATGCTGCTAAAAAGAACATTATTTTGTGTATTTGGTGTAATGAAATGTGTTTATGCAGTTTAAGGTTCAAGAAACACATTATTTTCCACATACTGTACATTATTGTTTCTCCTCTATGCCCCGCCTTTCTGAAATGCGTCGATTTTTACAAAGCTCATCGTTCTGAAAAGCGAGCTGTGCTGTGATTGGCCAGCTATCCAGTGCGTTATGATTGGCCGAATACCTCAAGCGTGTGACGGAAATGTTACGCCCCTCACCATACTGTGTTGATGCCCTGTCCGGCCGGAGCGACGAGTCAAAAACATTAAAACCCATTATAAACGAGGCATTCGTTGCTTCCAGTGGGGACATAATTATGGATTATAATGACTTATACTGTCTTTTTACACGTTGCATTACATCACGCCGCGTAAACATAAAACCATGTCTGCATTTGTGATCGGAGAAATGACAAACAACAAGCCCTACTCTACACTGCCCAAAAACTCGCTTTAAATATATAAAGTATAAAAACTCTTTAAATATAAAAGACGTACTTACAGTCTTTGAGTCAGAACAGCC